AATCAGAAGATACTTCCTAGCGATAAAGATGTTCCGAGTAGAGCTGGATTGAAATACATAGTAAATTAGAGTACCGGTGAAATTGGCTAGACGTCAAAGGCTGCAAATGTAATAAGGCTACATAGATATTACTCGAATGTGTCTATCAATATTTGATAGTTACGGAAAGTCTCTACAATTTATTAATCCTGGAAGAACAAACTTAAGTGTGGAAAGCACTCTGCGTGGAATTACTTGTGGAAGACGGGGTCAAGTTATCAAAAAGAGATAAAATTGATGGAGTATCAACCTATCAACGAAGGACCAGATGTGTACGCAGTCTTTGTTTTGATGTATTTATTGCAAACATTATGTAAGATAAAATTATGTGCAGCAGATCACTGATACTAGGTTTATTAATGAAATACTTTTTATTTCTTTTTGCAGATTTTGCACTGTCTCATTAAAAAGGCGACGTCACATATCGTCTGTAATGACACCTCAGCACTGGGATGTTATATAAGATCTGTTGTTGTGTTTAATTTGTTACTTGTTAAAGATTTGAATTATCTTCGTTGGTGTTTCATTCAAGAAGAAAATTTATGATATACAAGTGGAAAAGGTAATAATGTCGTCAGAGAAGCTGAGAACTGTCAGCAATCGTTTTTTTTTAAGGAGAATTATCTTAATATTCACCACTATCATCTGAAGTAAGCGGTGCCGGAAATCACAGAGAACATTTATAAGAGTTAAGACTAGATGAAGGAACTTCCCGGAATAATGTTCTTTATTTCCATAAGCCTGCATTTTCGCATCGTCACGTCGTGCAATGAATAAGAATTTTTACAAGTTTCAAGTACACTTATTTCAACATTGTAGACTAAATATTGTCTGTTGTAACACTGTTTCGCCCAAAAAATACAGTTTTTTTTAATACAGTAGTTCCAGACCTGAACGTGTTTTGTTTACGAGAAAAATTGTGGAGAGAAATACTAACACTTTTATTACAAGTTGTTCACAAACTTCAAACATTGTCAGTTTATTCAAGTCATTAAATAGGAGAACTGTTACAATTTGTCCTTAGTATCTCAGTAATTCATTAAAGACAAAAAAAGTTAGTGACAAAAGTTCCTTGAGAAACATACATAAAAATATATAATATACAGAATGTTTTGTTTCTGAGGCATAGCACTAACTGTTTTTTTTTTACAGAACAATCTATATATTTTTATATATTCTCATTAGCCCAGGTTTTAAAAACGTAATTTATTTTTAAAAAACCGATACGACGTTGTCAAGTTAATCCAATTTTCTTGAATTTTTAAAATTTTTAACAAAGAAATGGTTCACAAAATAAATAGCTATAATTTTATTTTTAAAAAGTTTTACGCGGAGAGAAACAGAAGTATGTACTCATTTTGCTGTGGTCTTAATTAAACTAAATTTTAATATACAGAGTGTTTATAAAAAATATACTACTGATTTTGTGAAATTTTTCATGTGCTGCTGTTACCAAACCTGATCCAAAGGCTTGGCACTATGTCACTTTGACGTGGTCAATAAAGTTAAGTTATGACAATATAATAGTAATCAACAACAAATTTTTATTGAAATTAAGTTTCACTCTAATTGTGTCAATTTTGACAATATAAGAAGTAAGTAATTTCAAGCAAAATTTGTTCATACCAAGTGAAACAGTACTTGTTTATCAGGCTGTATATTATCAGTACATGCTTAATTTCGAACTTTTATGTTTATATATGGAAAGAATTCGACCACTGGTTGCACAATATGCGGCGGTGGTAGATAAGAAGTATGGATTTGTGTTAAGAGGAAATATGATTAGATTTATTTTGTCTGCTGAAAGTAGAGAACAGTTATTATTTTTCTATTATTACATATGAGGGGGCGTAGCGTGTAGTTTTAATTAGGTAACCTATTATGATTTTTTTCTGATCCTTTTCATTGCTAAGAAATATCCAAGCATTTTAAAAGTAAACCGTGGTTATAAGGCCTACAGGAAGCGATCAATAGTGTTATGTGAAAATGTACAGTGTATTCCATTACAAAAAAAACCTAAAATATATTACTGCTTTACGGCTTAAAAATAGAACACTCTGTTTAATTGAACATAAGAACAGCAAAACTTCAGTTTTTAACTTTTTGTTTTGTTTCTAATAATAATTAATGAGGTATTTAAGACCGCGCTTAGTGACGCACCACTGTGGTCAGATTCATGCTAAACAATTTGTAAGTTTTTTGTAATGTTATAAAGTGAAAAAATCCATGGATAAAGCAGGGGCGGCTGGTGCCAGGGGGCACAAGGGCACGTGTTGCCCCAAAATTACAACGTCTACAAACACACTTAACATTGTCAAAATAGTAGTTTTCAATATTTAAAAAAATATCTGGAAGTTTATGTCATAATTAATTATCAAAACTATTTTTTAAAAAGAAAAAGAATAAAAATCTTGTGTCTTAGACATCAGCGAAGACCAAATCATGACTCATTTAGACGTTTTGTTTACCCCGTTGGCATGGAAACCGCTAATTTAGTCTCTGTATTTGGCTGGAATCGGGGCACGTTTGGACAGTTTGAATGTCAGTAATTCAACTACAGGAGTTTGTTTCATTCTGCGCGAGTTAAACTGATTTTAAATAAAAGTAATAAATTTAGTTGAATATTTAATAAAAACTCGTCCTCTGTCTTACGACGATAAAATTGTAGTGAAAAGTTTAGGGAGAGCTACCCCTAATTTATTGATAAAAAAAGTATTCATGGCAGAAGGAGGGACTTTCATAGATACTTTAATAGATAGGCATAACACGTATGATAAATTTCTATGGATGTGCGGTTGTGAAAAAAATAATAAACTGTTTTGTTTTGTGTGTCTCCTCGGTAATGAGTTAAAACCATCGCCCTGGATTAATACTGGCGTTGATGATCTACGACACCTAAAGAAAAGAGCAACAAAACATGAACGAAGTGCGAATCATTTGCATCATTTAGTAGATTACAATCTTCTTGGTAAGACGGATATTCGGAAACAACCAGACACCTATATTAACAATATTCGGACACAATAAATAAAATTACATTCTAATGATAAGATTAAGATTATTGTGTACGCATTGTGACTTGTATTTTTATAAATTCTTAAATTTTGTGAAAAAATCAGACGTTTCAACATCACATCAACATAAAAGGCAAAAAGGTATATGGACAAATAGTTTATTAAATTTATTGAATGCATTTTTGTATTTATTTCCGTCATACAATTTCGTCTATTAATTGGTAATAACGGCCTGGTTTATATCTTCATATTTAACTCATCAATCAAATTCTGTCCCCCCGTTTCAAAAGGTTACGAGCCGCCACTGGGAAAAAGACAAGATTCCTCCAAATTTATTTGTATAATGAAAGTGATTTCGACCAAAGGATTTTTTATATTATTTTTTCGTTGCTCCATAAATGGTCCTGAACAATGTGTCATAGAGTTGCTGCGCCATTTTTTTTAACATCCTGTATATACACATTTTATAAAAAACGACTGTTGTTTCGCTTTAACTAGCTTCTCAAAATTTAAAAGTGAAAAAATAGCGGTTCCATATATTGATAATTTGGTCAGAACTTTCCCCGCCCATGAAATGCAAACACACACATCGAGTTTCTGATAGGAGTTACTATAGTTGGTCCTGTAAATTTTATAACGGACACGTCTATATATTTAAATAAAAAATATATCCGTCTTCTGACAATTTTGGGAAAAATTGATAAACCATTTTTGATTTTGTCATTAAACTAAATGATTAATTCGTTCATTTTTTAAACATCCTGTATAAAAAATGTAAATAATAAAAACCTTAAAGTTCTTTTATAACAAAGTTGTATTTGACGACATTTTATGATGACGCCATTGATTTTCTGAAGGGAATAAATACACAATTTTTAAGAGTTGTCTGTACTCAATAAATGTTAGTATTTGTTAAAGTTAAAAAAAAACCTTTTCATGAACCTTATAATTAATAGGAAAAAATATGGATACTTATTAAATCACAAATAAAGGCCATATCACACAAATTTCAAGCCACATACAATTAACAAAATTTTGAGATGACATCATCAAATGGATGAACAGATGAATTCTGATTAGTGATTTAACCATGTTTACGAAAATATTAAAAAGTGTGCAAAATTTTTACATTATAAAGCGAATTTACGTAGGCAAATTTTGGTTAGTGTTTCATCAATTATCACTTCCACGATTTTCTTAAAATACATACGTATAAAATTTCGTATTGATTAATCCAGTAATTTCGGAAATGATTATTATTATTATACTTATGTAATAAAATTGTCAACAACAGAAAGGTCAACCTACTTTTTCATTTTCGACAAGCTATGAAGTGTGGAGAAAACATGAAATTAGTTATTCTCCAAATGGACCTTAGTACAATACTGCTCTACCTTACACTCGAGACGTAAAAAAATATATCTTGGATTTAAAAGTTGAACAAATGTAAAAAGATACACGTTTTCCTCAGCGCGGTCTTGAGAGTCCTAATTTAATCATTTTATTAAACTGTTGCCTCAGTTATAAGTTTAAGAACATCCCAAAGTAATAAGGAGCGTCCTACTTTACAAAGTCGATTTGTTTGAATTGTCCCAAATAGTCATATTAATCATTCGTAACAATATCTAACCTTACACATGTTCTCAGTAGTAATGAAACTTTTAGCAGACTGATAAGACACAAAGTTCGAACATCCATCATCTATACAAAACAGCTCACTTTTCTCTGCTACCTTGTCGCCAAAATTTAGGATGTGGTTTCCCGGATTTTCACCACACCTGTACACTCGTGTGGTTGCACCTATCATTATCCAGATAAGCCGAGTTTTCCGAAATTGTTAATACCCGACAATGAATGATCAAATTAATAAACTTTATCGTATATTACTGATAAGACAATGGCTTGTTTTCCTGAGTCGGCGTAAAATAGGTAGATAATCAGATAACGTAGCCTAGTCGAGTCGACCGGTGTAACTAAATCGACATCACCGAAGATCCAATTTACGCCTAAACCCTCGCGCTTACTCATCCAGAAGACACCGGGCAGACGTCCGAATGTTGATAACAAAGAGAACAAAAGAAGAGAGTGGGGCGATAGCGTGATAGTGGTGAAAATCGTCGCGCAGTTGCCACCGCAGAGCCGAGAGCTCTGGATGTGCTGCTATGGAGTCGAGGGCTACGACCACGCCGTCGTCGCTGCAGCAGAAATTCTTGAAACGACCGGACTCGCTTCAACTGGAGCTACTGCCTATTCCTGAGAACGGGCCTTTGTCTAAGTTCAGTCAAGATAACAACGAATTAGTGCACGTGGGCTTTAGGGATGTCACGTATACTATCAAGGAGGGCTTCTTCAAAAGAAGTAAGTAATTATGATTTTAGATTAAAATAAAATCAGGTGGTGGATAAACCTGTCATCTGCATTTATAGTGTCGTCTTCGTGGTGTTTGAATCCTGTTTTCAGTGCACAAAGGCCTTTGTGTGTCAAAACATTTTTTGGCGCCCCGTTGCATGTAATAGTTTCATTAATTTTTTCAGCAGAATGCGCGGATCAATGGAGAGGTTTATAGTAGTTTTAAAATTCACCCCTTTATTTAAATGGAAAATTAGGAATTGTGATCAATTTGATTACGTACTTAGTTACTTAAATGAAAAGGGTTTAAGTTTTTCAAGATTTGACTAGTTGTAGTACTACAACGGGGTGCTTTTTTATGTGTTAACCTTGTAAATTTGGACTTGGATTTGATCCAAATAAGTTGGGGAAAGTTACGATAGCGACGTCGTAAAAAAATATTTTATGTAATCTTATCTAACAACTTGGATGTTTCTTACAACCATCCAAAATGTAAAATGACAACTGAGAATAAACGTTTCTAGGAGTTGTAGGATTTATATTTTTTAGTTTCGAATTAAAAGCGAATCTGTTGAAAAAGGTGGGAAACAAATTTTTAAAATAAAAATAAGTATGTGTGAAGTTAGGAGCAATCATCAATTGTATCAATTGTGTTATACAAATATTACATTAATAAGTACCAAACCCGATATAGCAACTAACCAACAAGTTATAGCTATAAGTTTTTTCAAACTCTGTCCACAACAGTTTTTCCTAAATTTTTTATAAATTCTTTAAGTAGTTTATTACGTATCGTTTTAGATTTATTTATATTGTTCGACTGAGTTTTTTTCCTTCCGTACACTGTGCCATGCGTGCCCTAAAACGCTCAATTACGGCTGCTTTGGGAACATTTATAACCAAAAATTTACTCTTGCCGAAAAGACACTAATTCTGTTCAAACATGATCGAAATGATTCTTACGGTTTTTGAAGCAACTTATGTGGAATATTTATGTAAACAACTGATTGTGTCTCTAATATGATAAATAGTTGAAACAGTTTTCTTTGTTTCTTTCTATATATGTGATTTAAATAAAAGTGCATTTTTTTTTAAGAATTGTTCACTTTTTGTATTCCCATTCTAAATTGGTTTAACCAATCACAAATACCTATATTGACACAGTTAGATGAATATAGCCTTGTCTTCACTTTACACCATCCCTCATGCAAACTTATTTAGGCAAATGCCATAGGAGACACAAACTTTCCAAATGATATGATTTCATTCATTTTTGAACTACGTTATTTTTTATGTTTTAAATTCCCATTCGACTAGGACCGTTTTCTAGTATTTTTTGTAAGTAACTTTTTGAAAATCAATAGGTCAAAAGGATCCTGTTAAAAGCTCCTTTATGATTATATCTGGGAAGTCCCTGTGGCAAAGACTAGTCTGAAAAAATAGTTTTAGCGGTTTCTGGCTGTTAAATGCCTGTTTACTTTTATAAAAGTTGGCTGGTAGGAAAGCCATAACTGTATCCTGTATGTAAAATCGGTAGGGTAATATATTACCTTACCGAAATGTCAATTGTCAACATTTGGCAAGGAATTGAAAAGCAGTGAATGTGAAAAACAATAAATGTAAGTAACTTTACCGGTTTTATTCAAACTGTTTAATGGTTGACTGACTGCATTTTTAATATTTTCGGGCAATACGTCGCCTAAATCCATCATTTCCTAATTCTGTTCACAACATTTTTTTGAATAAACATCAAAATGTAACTATGACATACAAACGTGATCAACCAAATTTATTTGTTTTTTAATTAATTTTTGGATTAATGGATTAAAATGGACAGAAACCGATAAAATCTTGAACACACCACGGATGTAGAGGGTGCACTCTTTACATTCTAGGTATGTTAACAGTTATTAGAATTTTTCTAACATTAGTATTCATCTGTGCATACTCTTTTCTTTTATCATAAGCTTAGGTAATTGTTGTAGTTTATTCCCTATTATTCAAAGTCCATTTTTTAATTATCCATAAGACATAACATAATAGTTGTCTTAAATATACAAAAACAAATTCTCTGTAGTTAAATTGATATTCATCACGTTAAAACCTTAGAAGGTTAATTTTACAAAACCTTCCAAACAACGTGAGCAACCGCGAACAACAGTAGGTACTAATAAATTTATTGAGAAAACAATGAAAGAAATTTTGTGGTTCAATGAAATTTTTGTTAGCGATGGTAGTATATATTATCTATTGCAGTCGTGGCCTACAATTTCGGGAATTCTTAATAACAATTACTACTTTTTCTAGGTTTCCTCAGTTAGATATACGAGTTCTCCTTGATGCTAAAATGCTTTAAAAATTAAAAATGACTGTTCAGCATCACAATCTTCGTGATGATTTTCATCAGATAAGCCCTGAATTGCATTAAACGCCACTGAGGTTGAGGCTGCACAGTCAGGCAGCCAATTTTATCGCCTGACGTCTCGCCGTCGTTTTTAATATTTGTCTGATTGATTCCCCATCAGTTCGGCTGTGCCTAATTCTGATCATCAATCACTATTTCTTAACATATAAAAGGGGATTTGAAAATAGGTTTTAAAGGAGAAAAAGGCTTCAAAAAGAGACAAAATAGACACTTGATGCGATAACTTTTTTAGTCATTCAGTGGTACTATTTTTTTCACTAGTAGCCTAGAAACATACAATTATAGACTTGTTCAGAGGCATGAAGTTGATCATTATAAACCAAGGTCTAGAAAAAAAATTGAAGTTGTGTAATACTTGACAAACGAAAATTGATAATTATCAGATTTTTGAAATGCCAGTGATGTTGTTACTTTTAATAAATAGAAATTTGAAATCTGTGTTTTGTAGTGTGCTACATGCTTTACAATAACTCTCGACACTTCGCGTTTCGGGCTATAATCTACGTTCGGTCACTTTGGTCTATAATGTTTCACTACCTTGGCGTATGATGTACTATTTTTTACTTCCCGAGCGTAAGCTAAGGAAGTATTGTAATAGAGACCATCCGGAGACTGGCTAATTTAATGTTTTCTTGATGTTTGCTGACTCCGAAAACAATTCCACGTTCTGACAACAGAATAAAACACCGTTTTGAACTGACCTTAAGTCCGAAAACATCTCAGGTCAACTTAAAAAGACAACGGACATCACGAGTGTTCCTCAACTGATGGTTTTTATGTTCGATACCAAAGAGAGGATGATTCTTCTGAAAATATTCTATTTTGTTTGCCTCAGGAAACAACAAGAGAAGAAGACCTTTTACAGGCTAGACGAGTTTATGAAAAAACACGATCTCAATTGGAAGAAATGTTTGGCTAAAAGCACAGACGGGGTAGTTATTGAGGGCTTCTTGGGAGAATTTAATAGAAAAATCCTGAGGTCATTACTGTCCACTATTTTTTACACAGAGAAAACTTGGCTTCCCAACGATTGCAGCCACAATTAAATTCTGTAGACGCTGTAGTAAATTTTATAAAAGATCGATCGTTGAATTCGGGCATTTTTCACAACTAATGCGAAGAAATGGGATCAGCACACCAAAAGCTGAAGACGCGTTATTGAGTTGAGTGAAATTGAATTATTTTTAAAAGATAGGGGATACAATCTAGCTGAAAAATGTATGGATCACAGTTGATTGGCACATTTATCTTACTCAAGTGGCATACTCGGGCATTTAAATGAGTTGAATACAGAAATGAAGGGTACGAATTGGTTGACATCAGAGCAAAGATTTCTGCGTTCAAATGAAATTTGATTTTTGGAAAGATAAATTGCAGTGATAGTGAATTGCTTCTTTTCCGGATCTAAGCCTTTTTTGGAGAATTCAGAACAAGCTTCTTTGTTAGGTATTTAAGGTATCATTGTTGCGCACATTGTTGGGTTCGTAATCCATTTATTATTGATGTCAAAGAAATTGAAGAAGATATACCTGGATTTTAAGAAGAGCTCTGTTATCTCCAAGAAAATCTAGCAGGTACAGAAAGAACGATTTCAGCAGTTGCCACTTGCACAATTCTGGACCAGTTAAAAAACTAACACACTTCTTAATTTTCAAACAAGGTCGTCCGAAAAGAGATTTGAGAAATCCTGGTGACAAAACGCTAACCAAATTTTTGTCTAATCATCCTCATCAACAATGTGATGAAGTCCTTTCAATGTTATGCATAGTAAATATTGTTCCAATTTATGAGCTAACGTATTCCTATACTTGTGGTTTATGAATTTAGACATCCCGATTTCTGGAAAAAAACATCAAAATTATGTAACAACATTTTACTATTTAATTTTGAAATGAACTGAAGGCGCCAAAATCATACGAACAGTTTATTAAACACCAAAGGGTAAAAATCCCAAATGCCTCACTCCTCTGAAAAAGTCAAAGCGTTATTTAAATTCTTCCCTTAATTATAAAATTTTCGCCTTTTTACTTGCATGGTAGTCGAGTCCGTCAGGCGACTCTTTACTTTTACGTTTTCTCCACCATTCATGACCCCTACAGTACGAAGAAATCGGTCTCCCGTTTCCGTCTGCCTGTCCGTCTGTCTGTCTGCCGTCCCGGATTTTTAATAGATAGATAATCTCCAAAAGTACTGGGTGGATTGTTGTCAAATTTTGTATTTATATTGGGAATATTATGTAGATGGTAAAACGCTATCCAAAATGTGTCTGGTCATCCCTACAAATAATGTGATGACGTCACTTCAAAATTGCACATAGGTAAATGGGTTTTAAATTGCATGAAATAACATAGTCCTAATTTATGACTCCGTATTGAGTTTTTACCCGAAACGTCCAGATTTTTGGAAAACAATCAAAATTGTAAAACAACATTTTGCAATTTAATTTTGAATCTGGAAAACCGAATGCTTTGAAATCTTGCAGATGTTTTAAAGTTATGTTCAGCATGAACATTTTTTTATCAAAATATATTTACTCATCCCGCCGAATAAATCCTACCTAAATTGTAGAAAATATGATGAGTCT